ACCGTCCTTGTGTCCATGTTTGGAAAGAACCTACCCTTATTCACTGTCACCAGAGAACAGAGTTTGCAGGCAGAGTGGTTCTGAGTCAGGGCAGGATGACTGTCACAGGTGAACCTGGCTATATAACCAGGATCAACCACCACCTGATGTGTGGAGATGGGTTTTTATTTCCAGAGTTCTCTCTGGGAAGGGGCGATATTTTGGACACATTTCCCATTTGGGCGGAGGTTTGAATTTGATGGTTTTCTGAAGCGACACAGAGTCTAGGAGGAAGAATCGTCCCAGATGACACCAGATTAAGATAGGAAGTGTTCTGAGATATAGGATGGCTTACAAACAAAAATGGAACCAAAACAACCCTCCCCCAACCCAGACTCCTGTGTGTCCTAAAGGTGACACTGCCCCTCACACGGGGAGCTAAGTGGCAGCGCTGACAGCAGGAAGGGACTCCTGCAAGCAGAAGCTGGGGACAGCAGGACTGGCAAGACTTTCCAGAAGGGACAAAGCTAGATCTTAAGCACCCAGGTCCTGCTTGGGGTGAATGGTGGGTGTCCAGGGGGAATCCCGAGATGCAGGGAAAAGTTGAGTCACAAGCAGAACAGGAAGATAGGAGATATTTGAGACATGCCCATAAAGTGATTTAGCATTTTGAAACTATATCCATGTTACATCATATATATATATGTATTAAATAATAAAAGCCTACATTTCCAGGACATTCTATCTGCTTCTGTTGGGTGAGGCGGGGTTGGGGGAGGGGGAATCTACAATTTGGAATTGGGGGTTTCCATGAGAAAGGAAAGTTTTGCTTATTTTGCAACAGGAATACACATTTTTGTTCGATGTATTCAATTAGTCGAGTTGTTTTTGTTTTTCCCCTCATGATATTGTTTTGTTATTATTGTTGTTGCTTGTTTGTTTTGTTGGTACTGAGGTTCGAGCTCAGGGCCTGTGCTTGCTAACGGGTACTCTATTATTTGAACCATTCCACCAACCAGTGTTGCTTTTGTTATTTTTTCATATAGGGACTTGAATTTATGCCCTGGTTGGCTGGGACCTTGATCCTCCTATTTATGCTTCCTTGCTGTGGCTGTGATGACACGTAGCTTTTTCTGTCGAGATGAGGGTCTCATGAACTATTTGCCCAGGCTGGCCTAAAACCGTGAGCTTCCAGATTACAGACAAGAGTGGCTGCTGATTACGTGGTTAAAAAATACTTACAAATATTTTTGAGGGACATCTTCTAGCAATGATCCCGCAAATGTGATTAGTGTAGATGATCCATCTGGTAATTCTAGGTAATACCATATTTTATCTTCTAGATTTTCTAGACTGTATTATTCTGTTGTCCTTTTGGGGGCTGGAACTATTTCTGTCTGCAGGCTGAGTTATAAAACTATGACTCCATGTTGACTATCTGGGCCGTGGAGATAGGGATTATGCTGTCCAGGTGACTATAGCTCACTGACTAGGACGCAGGCTCTCTGGAGTGACAGGAGCTCACTGGCAGGAAGCAAATCTAACATGGAGAACATAATCTGGTCAGGAGAGACTGAGATGTCTGCCCACTCTGCATTGCCAGGTGACACCATGGCTCAGGGGAACAGGGGAACACAGAGTCCCACCCTCTAGTCCTCCAGTCACCCAAAGGTAGGAAGGCTGGGAACTTTTGTCTCTATTCCAGTGGTGATATGAAGGTGTGTGCCTGAAGATACTGTGGTGTTTTCTCTTATAGATATGGTGACATCAATGGGTCTGTTACTCTGTATAAAATTATCCAGCCTTATGTCAGTAAGCTTTTGTATATAGAGATACAAATACCTGCATAGCTTCTCTTTGGCCGGTGCAATCAGTATTTATGATGGAATTTGGGACATGCACGTTAGTCTTGGTTTTATTTGAATAGATACTGATTAGGAGGCAGTGGTGGTGGTGGTGGTGGTGGTGGTGGTGGTGGGGTGTGTGTGTGTGTGTGTGTGTGTGTGTGTGTGTGTGTGTGTGTGTGTACTTGGGTTCAAACTCGGGGTCTCTAGTTCTCACTTGGCTTTTTCACTCAAGGCTGGCGCTCTACCACCTGAGTCACACCTCCACTCCCAGCTCTTTGCTGTTTATTTGGAGGTAAGAGGATCACAATCTTTGTGCTTGGGCTGGCTTTAAACCAGGATCCTAAGATTGCAGCCCCTGAGTAGCTAGTATTAGAGGTGTGGGCCACTAGTGCCTGGTGAGGCCAGAGTTTTGATTTGTGCAAATTATTAGCTTTACTTTCAGAAGGACCCTGCTTCTGCATATGGCAGAACCATTACATCTTGGACTCGAAGTGAGATATCCCTTTGTTGTATGTTTGTCTCTTTTCCTCCAGGTGAATGTAACATGCTTTCAGTTATACCTTTCTTGCATAGTTGTGTGAATGCTTGCTATGGCTCTGCTTACCTCTTGTGTCATTTCTTTTAGGTTAAGACCAAAGATTTCCCAAGTTCCCATCTTACCACCAAATACCTTGGGGGAAGGAGGACAGGACTTACTAGAGATTACATAAGTAGTCACTTGGATGTGTTTGAAGGGGTGAGACTCAGAAGTCATGTTTTCTTGGGGTCCAGGGAGGAGCTGTTAGCTGGGTTGGTAGTTCATACTTGGAATCCCAGTATTTACTTGAGAGAAAAAAAACCCTTTCATTTGTATTTTATCTTAGTCACTTTGAATACTATGATTTCTATTGTCTTGATGTTAAGATCACTGCTTTTGTAGGCTGAACTGCCATTCAAACTCCTCTGTGCTATAATATTTCTAGTAATTTAGAGAAATCCAATTATATAATTCATAAATCTCAGTGGACTGAATGAAATTTCTGCAGGTAATCTTAAGGACAATAGGCTTTTCATAAATACAAGCATGAACTATTTCATCAGTGCATTCTTCTTCCTCCTACTATGTCAATATTTTAAATAAAGTGCATTTGCAAATAAAAAAAAACAGTTTGAGGCCAGCCTGGGATATGCAATGAGAGCCTGCTTCAAAATCAATCAATCAGTCAATCCAAACCAAGTCAAACTTGCCTCTGATTAAAATGTGATTGATTCTCATTCTAACTCAGTGCTGCCCACTAGATCTTCATGCATTGACAATGATACCATTTCAATATGGCAGCCACCAGCCACAGGGCTGTAGAGACTGGGAAATGTGCCTAGTGCAGCTGAGAAACTGAATCTTAAGTAATAAATGTAAGCAGCTACTTTTTTTTTTTGACAATATGATACTGTTGTACTGGACAGTAGGATGCATCTAACTTTGATTCTGGAGTTGGAAGTGGGAAAACTTGCCATGGGGTAGGGATGGGGGGGTGGCTGGGTCTGTCAGTGCTGGGCTAAGCTGTGAGCGTGTGCAGACTTCTTACTTGGCCTCACTGGTGATTGAGGATGAGGGGGTCCCTCAGCTTTTGTTTCCATGCAAATCCCAGAAACTTGAGCTCCACAGTGAAAAGCACTTTAAAGGGGTCTCACAAAAAGAAGAGAGGGAGACTTGCAAGGTAGAGTTTTTTTTTTAAAGCAAGAATGTTTATTTATTTTCTGCCAGTTCTGGGGCTTGAACTCAGGGCTGGACACTGTCCCTGAGCTTTTGTTCAAGGCTAGTGCTCTACCACTTGAGCCAGAGCACCACTTCTGGCTTTTTGTATTTATATGGTACTGAGGAATTGAATTTAGGACTTCATGCATGCTAGATAAGCACTCTACCACTAAGCTACATTCCCAGCCTGCAAGAATGTATTTTAGCAAAACAGGATAAAGTAGTGAGAGACAGAAAGAGAGAGAGAGAAGTACCTCCTTGTTTGAAATTCAGGGATGGGAATTAAGCTAAAAAATGTAGATTTTCTGTTGGTTTTACATGTTCTAAGCTGAGGAAATGCCAGTGGTTATATTGTTCAATAAATCTTAATAATTAGAGTTAACTCAGTTACCCCAAGTATGGCTAAGAGAGATTCTACTTGTTATTAAAATACCATAACCAGAAACAACAACAAAACTCTCAAAAACCCCTGCCCCATCACATAAAAACAAGGAGATATGATCTAGGCCTAAAACGCAGGAATAATGGGTGAGTTTCAAGACTTCCATTTGCCAGAAATCTTCTCCAATTTTCTGTCATTCTATAATTTAAAGAGGTTGTAGCTTCTGATGATTTAAAGGAGAGGGAAGGCACAGAGATCCCCTATCTGTCTCTCGTGGCCATCCAGGGCTTATACTAGGCTTCCTGCTCACGCTCAGCTATTTTTGCTCACAGCTGGAAATGCTTCTAGTCTAGCATTTTGCTGATTAATTCAAGATAGAGTCTCACAAACTTTTATGCCTGAAGTTAACTTCGAACTAAAGTCCTTCAGTTCTCAGCCTCTTGAGTAGCTAGGATTTCAGGTGTGAGCCACCAGCTCCTCCCTCTTCTTAGAACTTGACATCTAAGAGGAGGTGTCAGGTGCTGGTAGCTCATACCTGTAATCCTAGCTACTCAAGAGGTTGGAGATTTGAAGATTGTGGTTCAAACCCAGCACACAGCAAAGTGTGTGAAGTCCCTGAGCCTCTTTGTGCTCACTTAGTGCTCTACCACTTGAGTCACAGTGCCACTTCCAGTTTCTTCAAATCACAATTCTCAGATCTCAGCCTCCTGAGCAGATAAGATTGCAGGTGGGAGTCACTGGCTGAAGTGATAGAACACCAGTCTGAGGGAAAAAGCTAAAGGACAAGCCCTGAGTTTAAGCCCCAGTAATGGTGCAAAAAAAAGGTTTAAAAAAAAAGGAGAAAATAATTTGGGTGAGTCTGATGCTCTGAGGTTTTTGCTTTGATTTTTCTTCTCTTCATTTTTACTTTCTGGTTCTCTTTTAGTGCCTGAGTCTGGACATTTTACTATTTCTTGATTTCCTTTTTCTGTTGCCCTGGTGCATTGAGTCTGTCTTAACTACTCCTTTTTTTCTAGTTATGATTTTGATGGCTTGGAAGCTTCTGGTTCCTTTACAGGTTCAGCGGAATGAAGACAAATCTACCACCCTGAAATTGGCTGATTTTGGCCTTGCAAAGCACGCGGCGAGACCCATATTTACTGTGTGCGGGACTCCAACTTACGTTGCTCCTGAGATTCTTTCTGAGAAAGGTAAGTGCTTCATGATACCCATGAGCAGATGTCTTAGCTTTTGTGTTTGGTAAGTTTCCAATATAGAACAGTCAGAAATCTCAACAAGTTTGAATTAGGGACTGAATTTGGATTTTACTGGATTATTTTGGACAGGATTTCTTGATCATAGCTTGAGAATCTTTCTCTGAAGGCTGCTGTTGTTACAGAGGACCTGTGTATGTGTGTGTGTGTGTGTGTGTGCGTGTGCATGTACATGTGCATGTGTGTAGGCAGGACAGTGAGATGAAAGATGGAGGGGAGTTGGGAGGAGAACATAGATCAAGCAAGATCATTTGTGCCTCTGGCTCAAATTACTTCTTTGGGAGAAAATGGATGCCATTCTTTATTTTCAGTTAAACAGTATTTGCCCTGAAGCTTTGTAATGAAGACTTAACTTTCATGGAGAGACTGTCAGTTTCTCTTTCTCTGTCAGAAAGTGTTTGAAAATGTATATATTCCTGAAACAACCTTTGGGAAGATGATTGCGTGCTATGTATTAAGAACCTCCACTGTACATTGCTTTGTCATGTTCATTTCTAGAAATTTAAAATAATAATCATAGCCGGGTGCTGATGGCTCCTGCCTGTAACCATAGTTACTCTGGAAATTGAGTTCTGAGGATCATGGTTTGAAGTCAACCCTGGAAGAAAAAGTCCACGAGACTCTCATCTCCAATAAACTTCTAAAAAGCCAGAAGTAGAGCTGTGGCTTAAGTTATAGAGCACCGGCCTTGAGTGAAAAAGCTAAGGGACAGCTCCCAGGTCCTGAGTTCAAGATTCAGGACATGTGCACAAATGTTTAATATATAAGGCTATTCATCAGAAAATTCCTTATGGTTGTAAGAAAATTAGGGGAAAAAAACACAACATGGGGGATTTATTATGAAAAGGGCATGCTGACCACAGTTAGACATCATATTTGCAAAGATTATTTTTGTTTCCTTCATATACAAAGTTTTCTTATTTACTTACTTAGTCATTTGTTTTTATTGTTATAAAGGTGATGTATGGAGGGGTTACAGTTAACCTAAGTCAGGTAATGACTACATTTCTTTTTGGACAGTGTCACCCCATTTGCAGTTCTTATGAAGGAAATACCACAATACAATATGAAGTGAATAAAATAAAATAAGGGGTAAAATAGATACATGATCCTAATTCTGTTTTCAAAAATATCCGTCTGTGTGTTGGAAAGAGTGCATATGTACAGATAGCAAGTATTATTCGCTTTTGAATAGTCATCCAAAGGCCAACTGTTTTCTTTAAAAGAAAGTAGACAATGAATGACTAGACAGGGGACAGATCTGCCACCTTGGACCAGGCTTGTCATACTGTCTATCTCAAGAGCCAGGCCTTACATTTTCCAATACGGACGGTGTGAACTCTTCCATGTCTTGCACGCATGTCTGAAAAGCAGCTCATCCCATGCTCCTTGCCACACATGCTTGACTATGCCTGAGCTGATTTCTGCTCAGTTCAAAGAGGTGTGTGTCTTTCGTTCACGCAGTAGCATGTCCTAGCCATACCAAATTGCCATACGTTTCAAACACTTGCTTTCAATGGCTCTGCTTATTTTCTCATGAATTAAGAATAAGGGATTGCAAGGTGGCAGTGATCCGTGGACCACAAATTCACTATACAAGAAGATTCATCAGAAAGAGATAATTCCTTATGGTTGACTTTGTGTGGTGCAGGCACTTTGGGCTAGGCATTGGCTCAAGGGCAGGGGTGGCTGAGAGAAAAGTCCACCGTATTTGGAAGTGCCTCTTGTTTACTGAGAACTGAGGCCCTCTGTGACTTACAGCTGTTTTGACCTAAGTTCTTCACTGCTTAAGTTCTTTTCACTTTGGACCCTGCTTGATGTCAGGTTCGCCTGTCTCTGCCTTTGTTGGTACAGGTTATGGCCTGCAGGTGGACATGTGGGCTGCAGGTGTGATCCTCTACATCCTCCTGTGTGGCTTCCCCCCCTTCCGAAGTCCGGAGAGGGACCAGGACGAGCTCTTCAGTATCATCCAGCTGGGCCACTTTGAGTTCCTCGCGCCTTACTGGGACAACATCTCTGATTGTAAGATTTGGGACTTCCCTAGGCAGGGGTGGGGTCTGAATGGGTGAACCCAGGAGCTGTCCATCCAGCAATGGCTAAATTTAAAAGTAAATGACCTGAGAATAAATGAAATAATAATAATTAAAAAAAAAAACCCTCAAGTGCCTTGGTATTAGCAGCCAGACTTTTAAGTGCTTAGTAGCAGATTGGGACTCCATCTCTAGAATCTGATGAGACCTGTTCGCTGTCGCGGGTGCCCACGTGGCTGTGAACATTTGACTTCATGTTTGGGGAGGGAAATTCAGAACCAGGGGTACTTACCCCCATTTCCCCACCCCCCTCTCACCCTCACAGCTGCGAAAGATCTGGTGAGCCGGCTGCTAGTGGTAGACCCCCAAAAGCGCTCCACAGCTCACCAAGTCCTTCAGCATCCCTGGATTGAAACAGTTGGAAAGACCGGCACGCTGACCCTACAGAAGGAGGTGTCCACCAGCAGCGAGGGCCCCTCTCGAAGCCTGCACAAGAAGGGTGCAGAGCTGGCACTCTAGTCACCGCCTGGAGCATCCGCTCAGCCTCCGTTCTCGAGGATGGGGTGGAAGGCGGAGAGCAAAACAATGAGAGATGGAAAACCAGGAGGAGAGACACTCACTAATATTTTAAAGATAAAGCAAGTCTTGATGTTAAATGTTGCAATATTCTTTTAGATGTGTATATCTTACACCTTTAATACTTTTCTTCTACTTTTTTTTTTGGTGGGGGTAAGTTTTGGTAATGACAATGTTTTTGCTCCCTCCTTGGAATCAAGTTCATGGTGTGCTACACGCAGTGCTTCTGGTGTCTGAACAGCCCCATAAAATTAATAAGGCAAATCATGGTCTTTCTGTGTTAATAAAGCATACTCTGAGTAACAAAAGTGGGTCTGTATTCTTGTTACCCCTCCATCCCTCCTGGTACTGGGGCTTGAACTTGGGGCCTCAAGGTCTTGCTTAGCTTTTTCACTTACAGCTGGTTGTCAACCTTTTGAGCCATGCCTCCAGTTCCAGCTTTTGCTGGTTAATTGGCAATAAGAGTCTCTCAGACTTTTCTCCTTGAGCTAACCTTAAGCCTCTATCCTCAGATCTCAGCCGCTTGAGTAACTAGGATTATAGTTGTGAGCCAGTGGTGGCCAACTTCTTCTTCTTCTCCTTCTCCTTCTCCTTCTCCTTCTTCTTCTCCTTCTCCTTCTCCTTCTCCTTCTTCTTCTTCTTCTTCTTCCTCTTCTTCTTCCTCCTCTTCTTCTTCCTCCTCCTCTTCTTCCTCCTCCTCCTCCTCCTCCTCCTCTTCCTCCTCCTCTTCTTCCTTCTTTTCCTCCTCCTCCTCCTCCTCCACCTCCTCCTCCTCCTCCTCCACCTCCTCCTCCTCCTCCTCCTCCTCCTCCTCCTCCTCCACTTCTACTTCTATTTCCCTCTTCCTGTCTTGAGTAGCTAGGATTATAGATGTGAGCCACTGGTGCCCAGCCTTCTCCTTTCTTGTTAATGCTAGTGATAAGGACCAGGAAATTAGAATTCAGATTCAGATTTGTCTCCTGAAGCCAGGATAACTGCCTATAAATGGGCTCAACACAAGAGCTGTTTGTTTATATTTAGGGTAAGTCAACCTAAGTCTCTCGCTTTGGAGGCTGACCAAAAAGATATAGTATGGTTGAATGTTGCAAGGAAGACATGGAATTGGTTTTGCAAACCCTGTAAGATCCAGCTCTTCCAGAGGCAGAGTCACTTCTATGTGAAGTCAAGCACTCAGTCTTTGATTGTGTTAACATTTTCAGTCACCAGGGAGCCATTTAACTCATGAATGTGTCAGAAATGCAGCATGCAGATTGCCCAGAGACTTGAAGGAGCTCTGAGATCTGCAACCACATTCCCACCTGCAGAGCACACACACAAGGGCACAGACACGTGGGGTCCTGGGAGGCCAGTATACTGAGATTACCCCAGTTGGCCATCCCAGGTTATGTATGCATGCAGGCTTCTCCTCATTCTTCCTTCTTCCTCATCCCATTTTGTAGCCATCTGGACAGTAGAATAGCAAAACAGGAAGAATGCTAGAGTCATTGCTCAAACAGATATCGGAGGACCAAGAAAGCACACAGGAGACTGCAGTAATTTAAGGTGGAGAACAAAGGGAAGAGATGGGGGTTATCAGAACCTGGAAGCTTGGAGAAACTTGGTGGTGGATGGGACACTGTGCTGTACCACATACATCTTCCTTCTCGACTAGAAGGGTATAAGCTGCTTGGGCTACTGCACGATGCTACTGCTACTGTACAACACTTCCGTTGGGGTTGACGCCCACACCCCAGCATGTGGTTTTTGTCTTTATTAGCTTGGTTCAAGCTCTGTGCTGGGCTGCAGGCCTTTGAGACAGGAGTCCACAGGCTCTCAAGTAAAGATCCCTAATTCGACCTTTCAAAATGTGGCTTTTCTGTTTCTCTCCGACTGAACTCCCCTCTCTCTAACTGAACTCCCCTACAAACACCCTACACCCCTAAGTAGACAGGCAGATGGTGTGACTCAGCAGGCCAGGCAAAGATGCATGAGGCTAGATAAAGGCACAAATGACCTCTATTGTCATTAGATTAAAAACAACAAAACAATGTTTAGTCTGCATCGGGGGTTCCATTGGCTCTATTAGTAAGTTTCTGAGTCATTTCTTTTTTCTTTTTTTCCCTTTTGTCCAACATGGGATTTGAACTTGGGGCCTGGGTGTTGTTCCTGAGCTCTTTTATTCAAGGCTAGTGTTCTACCACGTTTGAGCCATAGCTACAATTCCAGTAGTGTTCTGGTGGTTAATTGGGAATAAGAGATTCATGGACTTTCCTGCCCAGACTGGCTTTGAACTGTAATCCTCAGATCTCAGCTTCCTGAGTAACTAGGATTACAGTCTTGACCTCCTGGCTCTCAGAGACATTTCTGGATTTCTGTGCTGCTATGTTTGCCTAGATGTCTTCTTACATCCTTGTCTATTTCTTTTGTTATAAGGTGAATCATCCCAGAAGCTACATTTTGAAATATGGATTATTTGATTCTTTATTATACAGTTAGCAAGCTGCAGGCAGCCAGTTGTTAAAAGGCCTGCAGCATGCAAATGCGCATAACACAGATAGGAAACATGCTAAAAAGGAAAGAACAAAAACAATACCAACAAGCCAATTCAGCTCCAATGGAGAGCTGAACTGGGACTCCATGATGACTGGAGATGAGCCAGGAGACAGGACACAGGAGATGATCACGGAGACAACGTGGCAGGGCATCATGGTGGCTAGGCTGGTCCAGGCCTAAATAGGTGGGTGCAAGGGGCAGATCCACAGAAAATTTCCAGACCCTGGCACTGGACTGACAGAATCAGTAACCTATCAGCTAAGTGCCTGCCCTTGCTCCGGGGATCTGGACATGCCCATCACCTGGGAGGCAGAAGATGGGCAGGGAGTTTTCTTCCCCCAGCATGAAGACAAGATGCCAGACTCTATCATCCAACCATGTGCCAATATGGCGCTGGTGAGACCTGACCTCCTTACTTCACTTTGGCCTCCTGAATAGCTGTAGTCATCAGGGAAATGCAAATGAAAGTCATAGGCATCCATTAGAATAGCTAAATGATTAGAATGATGACAGCATACCAGGTATCAACCAGGAATCAGAGCATCTGTAACAAGAAAAACATTGTGGATAGGATTATACAATTCTCCCCTTTGGAGCACAGTTGGGCAGTTCCTGTAGAGGTTAAACATCTATCTACCATGTGACCTAGCCATTTCACTACTAGGTATTTACTCTATGAGAAATTAAAGACTAGGACCTACAAAGACCTCATGTTATCCACTTGATTTGTAGTAGTCTGGATGTAGTTAAGAAGGAATTACCTGTAAACTGTGTTCTAAACTGCTGTGTGTGTGTGTGTGTATGTGTGTGAACACGTGTGTGGGCACATGCATGTGCCTGAACTTGAGGGCTTGGGACCTGTCCCTTAGCTTTTTTTTTTTTTTAAACTCAAGGATAGCTTTCTATCATTTAAGCCATAGCTCCACTTCTAGCTTTTTAGTGTTTAATTGAAGAGTCTCTTGGAGTTCCCTGCCCTGGCTAGTTTGAACTGTGATCCTCAGATCTCAGCTTCTCGAGTAGCTACTATTAGTGGATTGAGCCACTGGCACCTGGCAGCTTTGACAATTGTGTAGTACTTTGTAGCTCTCAGGGGGTGAATTCCTATGTGTATGTTTCCCATCTCCAAACAACAGGAAAGAGCTATGATTCTCAGCCCCACTTTATATAGATGGGGAGCCTGAAGTTCAGAGAAAGAGCTGACTTGTATATCACCCTTTGGTTTTCCACAACAAACAAACAAAAAAAAAACCAAACCCAAATCCCCCCAAACAACCTATAAAACAAAGAAAAGAACCCACAAATGCTAACTGTGAGACACAGATCCAAACGCAGAGTAGTACCATAGCTTCTGTTCCCAGCTCTTGCTCTGCTTCTGAGCTGATCCCAAAGGGCCTGCAGAAAATCGATAAAAAAAAATAAACCATTTAAAATGCAAAAAAAAAGCATGTTTGGCTGTGCAAGGCTTCTTTTCAGGAGCCTAGTTGAGTGTCTGTTCTGGCCCTTCCTCTTCAGAAGAACTTTAGGGCTGTGTTTTTGAAACTAGTGGCCAGTCCTATGGGGCCTGGGGCATCTCATGCAGTCCACTCACCTGTGGATGGGGTGAGGGTTGATGGTGGGTCTAGAGCTAACTGGGGATCTGTGGTTCATCTTCCACACTTCCTCCCTGGTGTCCATCACGTGACCACTGCCTTCTTTCCTCAGGGCTTAGTTCCAGCTCTTCCTGAGTTGGGCCATCATGGAGCAAACCCTTACCTGCTTCAGGGCACAGAGGAGCAAACACCTGTGTGGTGGATGCTATGATTTATAAACTCCTGAAGCAAACTCCTGTCTTCCTGGCCCTGCCCTTCACCAAGCTCAAAGTATTCTTACTCCATCGTTTCAATTCACATCCAGTGACTAGTTACAAAGAGCCTAGCCCCTTCCTTAATTCATCATGGCCACTTAGATGAAGCCCATGTCAATGATATCAAAGCAGACCCGCATGATGCTGTTTTGGTTTCCCAGTCTGAGACTCATCACTGGATTTCCTCTTTTCTTCCCTTCCTTCCTTCCCTTCTCCTCCTTCCTCTCCTTCTCCCTCTCCCTTTCCCTCTCTCCCTTCCTTTCTCCCTTTCTCTCTGTTTGAGCTGATACTGGGGCTTGAACTGAGGGCCTCAAGCTCTGGCTTGGCTTTATTGCTCAAGCCTAGCCTTCTACCATTTAAGTGCCCCATCCCCACCACCATTTCTGGCTCTTGTTAATTGGAGTAAGAGTCTCATGGACTTTTCTGCCCTGGGTTGGCTTGGAACTACAATCCTCAGATCTCAGCCACCTGAGTAGCTATGATTACAGGCTTGAACCACTGCTGGTTAAATTCATCCAATAAGCCCTTTTTCATACTTCAGCATTTCTTCATTTTGGAGTGAATTTTACATTTGTTAAGTCTTTACTATTCTTTCCTCTTCTTTTGGAAAGTTCTTATTAAGCCAGGGGTATATCTTACAGCGATGGTGTTTGAGAATTGGGAAATAAATTATGGTGAAAGCTCTATAATTATTTCCCAGAACAGTGGGATTTGAGACCAATAGTGAACCTTCATCCTTTCCCTGTGGGTTTGCTTTCTGTTTGACACAGATGTTGTACACAGTTGCATGACATTCATTTTGTTGTTAGTGGTATATTGTTTTTTTCCCTGTCTATCTACCTAATGGGATCCTGGAATCAAACAGCATAAGAACATAAAGCTATATTTAGATTTGTTCTGACACATCTCATATCCCTGACGACTACAC